TACGTTTGGTAGTGTATATATGTCCATGCCTCTCTCGCTTTGTCACAGCTTACCCTTCCCGCTCCCCATATCCTCAAGTCCATTCTCCAGTAGGACTGTGTCTTTATTCCTGTCTTACCCCTAGGTTCTTCATGACATTTTTTTTTTCTTAAATTCCATATATATGTGTTAGCATACGGTATTTGTCTTTCTCTTTGTGACTTACTTCACTCTGTATGACAGACTCTAGGTCTATCCACCTCATTACAAATAGCTCAATTTCGTTTCTTTTTATGGCTGAGTAATATTCCATTGTATATATGTGCCACATCTTCTTTATCCATTCATGCGATGATGGACGCTTAGGTTGTTTCCATCTCCGGGCTATTGTAAATAGAGCTGCAATGAACATTTTGGTACATGACTCTTTTTGAATTATGGTTTTCTCAGGGTATATGTCCAGTAGTGGGATTGCTGGGTCATATGGTAGTTCTATTTGTAGTTTTTTAAGGAACCTCCATACTGTTCTCCATAGTGGCTGTACCAATTCACATTCCTACCAGCAGTGCAAGAGTGTTCCCTTTTCTCCACACCGTCTCCAGCATTTATTGTTTCTAGATTTTTTGATGATGGCCATTCTGACTGGTGTGAGATGATATCTCATTGTAGTTTTAATTTGCATTCCTCTAATGATTAACGATGTTGAGCATTCTTTCATGTGTTTGTTGGCAGTCTGTATATCTTCTTTGGAGAAATGTCTATTTAGGTCTTCTGCTCATTTTTGGATTGGGTTGTTTGTTGTTTTGTTATTGAGCTGCATGAGCTGCTTATAAATTTTGGAGATTAATCCTTTGTCAGTTGCTTGATTTGCAAATATTTTCTCCCATACTGAGGGCTGTCTTTTGGTCTTGTTTATGGTTTCCTTTGCTGTGCAAAAGCTTTGATGTTTCATTAGGTCCCATTTGTTTATTTTTGTTTTTATTTCCATTTCTCTAGGAAGTGGGTCAAAAAGGATCTTGCTGTGATTTATGTCATAGAGTGTTCTGCCTATGTTTTCCTCTAAGAGTTTGATAGTTTCTGGCCTTACATTTAGGTCTTTAATCCATTTTGAGCTTATTTTTGTGTATGGTGTTAGGGAGTGATCTAATCTCATACTTTTACATGTACCTGTCCAGTTTTCCCAGCACCACTTACTGAAGAGGCTGTCCTTTCTCCACTGTACATTCCTGCCTCCTCTATCAAAGATAACATCACTGGGCTTCCCTGGTGGCGCAGTGGTTGAGAGTCCGCCTGCCGATGCAGGGGACACGGGTTCGTGCCCCAGTCCGGGAAAATCCCACATGCCGCGGAGCAGCTGGGCCCGTGAGCCATGGCCGCTGAGCCTGCGCGTCCGGAGCCTGTGCTCTGCAACGGGAGAGGCCACAACAGTGAGAGACCCGCGTACTGCAAAAAGAAAAAAGAGAGATAAGGTGACCATATGTGCATGGGTTTATCTCTGGGATTTCTATTCTGTTCCATTGATCTATCTTTCTGTTTTTGTGCCAGTACCATACTGTCTTGATTACTGTAGCTTTGTAATATAGTTTGAAGTCAGGGAGCCTGATTCCTCCATCTCCGTTTTTCCTTCTCAAGATTGCTTTGGCTATTTGGGGTCTTTTGTGTTTCCATACAAATTGTGAAATTTTTTGTTCTAGTTCTGTGAAAAGTGCCAGTGGTAGTTTGATAGGGATTGCATTGAATCTGTAGATTGCTTTGGGTAGTAGAGTCATTTTCACAATGTTGATTCTTCCAGAGGAATTTTAAATGGTACATGAAAAATAGGGTTACAGAATAGCAAACCTCAAAATTAAGAAGTTATTAAGTACAATATATAATTAGATTTTTCTCTTTTACCTGTAACAAACAACTTCCCCATTTTATATAGAAATAGTTAACATTAAGAGAAATTAATGAGATTTGGAATACTGTCTCAAGCTATTGGAAAATAAGAAAATTAGAACAATATTCATGAAATTGGTTTTTCACAGTTTTTTCTGTTTCTTTCCTGATTTATTTCGCAAAGAAAACACTTCAACAATGTATAAGAAAGATTTAAACTGAGATAATTATAAATTATAATCACGATTTTCTAAATAGCAAAAACGTTAACATTTTTTTCCACCTTTGTTGAGATACAGTTGACATATAACATTGTGTAAGTAACAATAACGTACTTTAGATTGGAATTTCTCCTTTTTGCAGGTACTAACAGCTTAAGAAGTAAAGCAAAAAAATGTTTATCTATTGTTCAAAGAAACATTTTATTTATATTGTTACAAGGAAGACAAGTGTTTTATCCGAGGTTACCCAACATTTGGATCTTACATAAATAAGACTTAAAATCCAAAGAGAAGCTGTGTTGTTGTAAACAACAGCTATATTGGATGAACTTGATCCAATTTTTGAAAAGAGATTCCTTGTCCACAGCAAGGCTCTTACACATGCACGAGGAAAATCAGGCCTATGCCCTTCATTTAGTTGAAGCCTAGGGTAAAAATCCTAGACAGTTAATTTTGGATCAATGAAACCTATTTGTAGAAATAGTGCACAACATAATGAGCATGATAAGGGCTAAGAAAATCATCCCTCTTCCTTTCTTTTTTTCTCCTTTGAAAATCAGCCACATAAGTGGCCTGTGGACCTCCTCTACTGGGGGAGGTATATTTATCCCGATGTTCATTTATAAAGAATTTAGCTTAAAAGGTAAAAAAATATATATATATATTCCTAGGTAATCATTCCTTAAAGCAGATTTATTATGAATAGAACATTTGTGTGTTTGGGAGTGTTGTTTTCCCGGGCACATACAGAAGACAGATTGTTGACAGTAAATGTTTAGTCAAGGGTGAGAATACTTTTGTTTTAGTTACAGATCCTTTCCACCAGCCAGATGATATTTTCTCCTTTCAATCAGTGCCGCAGAAGCTTTTGTGTGTTATATAGCAGTGCTGCTAAATATGATGGAACGGCTGCATCTTTTAATTTAATCCCAGTAGGAGAATAAGCTATTCTTCTTTTCCTAGGCGACAGACGGGGACTTTTAATGTCATGTAAAGCTCAGCTGGGTGAAGCCTTTTGAGAGACGGTGCTATCATGTCAGACTTTCTTGAATCATTTACCAGAGGCAAATGGTTGTCTCCGTTTTCTACAAAGCATTGCTTTTGGATTAGAATGCTCTTTGGAAATGAGCCTGTACAACATGTACACATTTAGGTCATCATTTGACTGCCTTATACTTAATAGGTGTGATGGGACAAATGTAATTAACATATGAGGAAGGTTCTGGCTTGGCCTGCTCAGTTCCCTATCTTTCATGCACATGAAGGAAGGCTCCACCAATTCCAGGCAATTCTTGGGGCTTTTATGATGGAATGAAGATAAGATAGGCCAAAAGCAAAGCGGATGGGTTTTTGACAGAAAAGAAAAGCACAGAAGAGCCCTCGTGTCCAGGGGTCTGTAGACAAGGTATATATCCTTTGGTAGGGGACTCTGGGAAGAAATGATGAACTTTTGGAAGGAATGATGTAGAAACATAATCAGTTCTTCTGAGGAAGGAAAGTGGAAGGTTTCCAGAGACTTGAGGCATTATAAAATAGGGAAAGAGAGGATTTTAATGAGTTTTGTTGTTTATGTACTTGTATCCTCTTTAAAGATGTTGAAATGTGTACATAAACATCGGACGTCCTATCTGAATTATATATTTTTGAATGTAACAGCCTTCTGGAACTGAGCCAAGTGACCATGGCTTCCTTGGGATTATATCTGTAGGATAGTTATGAGCTCTTTATAATGGGCTTTTTCTCTGGGCGTTTCCTACTTCAGACACATTTTGGTACACTGGAAATTTTCCAATGATGAGAGGTTTCTGTGGGTGTATGAATATCTGTGAACCGATAGGCTTATTTATCTACAAGGCTAGGAAGTATTCTCTGTGTCCTCAAGCAGTATATCTGCTGACAATGCTATATCATAAAAAAGATTTGTGATATCGTTAGAGATACAAGATGGTGAGTGATGATGTTGGAGCACAGCATCTGAAGAGCTTGAAGGTGAACTGGAAAAAAAGTAAAATCAAGATAAAAGAGATTTATTTGCCAATATTAGTCTAGAGAAAACTTGGCAGGGTGTGTAGAAACAATGAAATATACAAGTCAGCTATCAAGTCGCTAGTCTTTCTTTTGTTCAAAATCTTCCTATTGGGTAGAATCCTAATTGATTACTTGCTGACTTGTATCTCTGAAGTTTTTCTGGGACTTGGACTTTATAGCAGTAATAAAAGATTTTTCAAAGGAAAAATCTAAACCTCTCTCAAGAATAATTTCCATTCCTAAGCATACATCTCTGATTCTATATGATATCATCAGTTTCCTAACTTTTAAAGTCCTCTCTCAGCCCACTTGTTATAGGAGTCACAGGGTACCACCAACGAGCCTGAACCTACCCCAAAGAAAGTCAAAGGGTTGTAATAATCCCAAAGGTTTAAATCTTCAGCAAGGCTGTGCAGTCACACTGGGAGATCCTATAGCCTTGACTGCAGACAAGGTCCTGGGGACTCTGGGAAGGATGAGAGGAGCCTTGGAGCACAGACTTTTGACCCCAGGTCACGTTTGCGTTTCCTCCCTGCTGCTCTCCTCATTTTATATAATCTGCTTTCACCCATTTTTGGGTACCGATAGGCTGTGTTGTCAATCACAATGAGATGCTTTACATGGAGAACAATGATTTCCTATGAGGTCTACCTTACCCTCTGGCTGTAACAAAGAATTTGGAAAAAGGGATTCATGGAGATGCTTTTCCTTCTATGTTCTGAGAGCACATTTACACCAATACTTTATGGATACTTTAGTGCTTGAAGTAACCCTGTGAGGTCAGAGTTTATACCAGTTGGGATAATTCAGGATGCTTTAATAAACACCCCCCACCCCAACTCTCACTAGTTTAACACAATAAAATAAACACTGGTTTATTTCTGTTTTACACAGAGTCCAAAGTGGTTGGTCCTACCTGGCAGTAGGACTTCCACAAGGTCATTCAGAGACTCAGACACCTTCCAGTCTGTGGTTCTGTCATCCCCTGCGGCCCTGGAGTCCTCTGTTAGATCCTCTGATTTGATCCAGAAAACAAGAATGTGGAGTGTCACTTGGAAGATTTGTACTGGCCAGACCTGAAGGTGGCATCCGTCACTTCTGCTCTTATCCTAACAGCCAGCACATCTGGCCACACTCAACTGGCAAGAGAGGCTGGGAAATACAGTCTACGTGTGCGGCCAGAAGACAAGGTAATTGGGTTTGGTGAAAAACTGGCCAGTCTCTGGCGTAGTGTTACTACTGTCCCCGCCTTACTGATGGGTAAACTGAAACATAAAGGGGTTAAGTAATACACCGAAGTCACCTAACACGTGGTAAGCAAGAAAATCTGAACCCAGGAATCTGACCCCAGAACAGCCTTTTAAACCTTTTAAACTACAGGTCTGCCTCCCAGATAATTAATGCATGGTGTTTCCTGTTACTTCAGATGAGTAAAACAAGGCTGAGGAAGATAACATGCCTCCTCCTAGTTGACAGAATGCAGCAGACACAGGATTAATATTCCTTTATTCCATGGAATTGCAGTCCCGTTTAGGATGAGTGCAGGACCCTCTGATTTCAGTGGCTCTTTTCCTGAGCATCTTTGGGGAAGAGGGGTGTGTGTTCCCATCTCAGTGAGTATTTTAAGGTGAGCCAACTCACTTTATCACCTGAGACCCTTGGTTCCAACAGCATGCAACTAAGGAGGCAAATAATTAAAATTAGGGATCATGGAGTAAAGCAGACAGGCAGAAAGCCATGGGGTTAAGAGGCAGAGTCTGGAACCAGAGCTCCCAAATCAGAAAAATCCAACCCTGGCTCTGCCTGCAGCTGGCTGTTCCTACCTCATTTAAATAAATGTCAAGTTTTTCCCTTGGTCTCTGTCTCAGAAAGGGGCACATAATTCCTTAGTAGGTCCTCGTTTGTTCAAGACAATCTTAGCTTATACTGTTGTTCTAGGGTTATTGTTAATAGCGCCTCCTTTCACTCTCAGAAATGTACTGACTTAGATGATAAATTATATGATTACCCTACTTATGGCACCTGAAGCATCTTCACCCAGATATTACTTGGTAATAAATCTTCTGGGGAGGAGGTCACCCCCTAAATTAATTAAGCTCCATAAGCCTTAATCACAAAGCTTGAAGAAATTTGATTATAATACTGAAGTTTGAATTTAGTTTGATTAGCTTTTTGCTGAATTTTAAAAGAATCCGGGAGTTCCTTGTATGTGGGTAGCTCTGCCCCAAGCCCTGCCTTCTTTATAGAGGGACTCGGCCATCTCTTCAGCACAGCCTGAGTCAACAGGCTACCCTCCAAGCCACACGTTTGCTGTTACACGTAGACCCCCCTGGTGGACTGTGGACCCTGCCTCTACAGACAAGAAAAGATCCGGTCTCCAGCTACCATACCAGCCTCCCTTCGCTCCCTCTCTGCTTGTACCCCACCTGGAGTGGCGAGAAGCCTTACCCTTCGACTTCCCTTTTTGGCTGGAGATTATCCCTTTTCTTCTCCACGTGGGATTTGGGAAAACAGAAGGGAGCCTCTAACCACATTTGTTTGCACCTACTCATGCCTTGTGGAGCCATGTTCTGTGTAAGATCTGTTCACTGAGAGAAACAAGAAACTATTTCTAGTCTTCAACAGACTTTTATGATCTGGCCTCTGCCTACCTCTTTGGCTTCAGCACCTGTCACTCTTTCTCTAGATTGGCCACACTGCCTGCCTTCTTTTTGTAGACTATGCCAAGCACCATCCTGCCATATGGTCTTTGCTCTTGCAGCTCCTTCTGGCTGGAATGCAGCTCCTTCTGGCTGAGGTGCTGTTCCCCCGATCTGCTTGAATCAGCTTAAACGTCACCTCCTTGAGAGGACTTCTCTGATGATCCAATCGAACATAACTTTCACAATCGCTTTCTCTGTCAAAGTCCTGTTTTATTTCCTTCACAATACTTATCACTATCTAAGATTATTTTGCTGATTGAATTGCTAACTTTCTTTCAAACTCCTCGATAATAATAATAAATAATAGTTACTAGACTTGCCTCTGGAGTCAGTCCTCAATAAGGATCCTTTTGCCTGGTGTCACTTGCACCAATAGAACCAGACCGAGTTCAGTTGAGAAGCAAAGGAAAGCTTTATTCTTTGATCAAAGAATGGAGAGGTGCGGGCTCGGGCTGTAGAGCACGTGCTCCCGCAAAGGCCATCCGTAGGGCTGCTTTATAGGGTTCTTGTCTGAGGAGGGAGGGGTAGAGTTCTCGAGGGTCCCGTGCGGGCGAGTTGCTCACGGAGCCCCAGATCCAAGCGCTGGGCGCAGCGTCTCTGCACACAGACTGCTGCCGCCATCTTGAACGGAGGGGTCATGTGCAGTGCTTCTCCGTGTGTCTCCAAGTTGGGGTGTCAGGAACATCAATTCCGTACTGCAAACTCTAATCCAACACATTAGGTGTAAGACCTCTGCACTCGGCCCCCTACAGGCAAGCACAAAAGAAGAGGTAAGACCTTATCACCTAGATTCCATCTTATTCCCCCCTCCCCGGGACCCCAGTGGGCTTTGTGGATGCCACTATGAGCCTCACCCTCTTCTAAGTACTCTACATGGACTAATTTTTTAAATCTTTATAGTCATCCTATGAGATAGGCGCTATTATCATTCCCTTTATTTAGTTATTTATTTATTTGGCTGCTCTGGGTCTTAGTTGTGGCACATGAGATCTTCATTGCCACGTACGGGATCTTCGTGGTGGCATGCGGGATCTAGTTCCCTGACCAGGGATTGAACCTGGGCCCCCTGCCTTGGGAGCACAGAGTCAAAACCACTGGACCACCAGGGAAGTGTCCCGTATCATTCCCATTTTATTATTTTTTTAATTTTTAATAAAGAAACTGAGATGAAAAGAAATAAAGTCACTTACCTAATGTTTCAGAAAGGGAGCCAGGATTCAAGCCTAGGCCGTCTGGTTCCCGTGTCTAATCTGAACCACCAGGCAAGGCTGCCTCCCATCAAAGTCATCCCCAGAGGACAGAACGTCCATGTCCTGTGTGCCACTGTATCAACGTCTGTGATCTTGTGATTTATAATAAGAGACATGTATTTGGTCTTTGTCTGGGTTCTGGCACAGGGCTCCTAAAACCATTGGAATTTCCTAAGTGTTGAGAGCAATAAAAAATGTCTTTTGTCAGTAATGAGTGACTTCTGGAAAGCACCTAAGGATGGGGGCTGGTTGCCAGAGAGTCCAATCATGTGATTAGAGGGTTGGAACTTTCAGTCCCACACCCCCTGATCTTGAGGGAGGGAAGAAGTGCTGGTGGTTGAGTTCAGTCACGAATGGCCAATGACCTAATCAATCATGACCACGGAATGAAGCCTCCATGGAACCCCAAAAGGAGAGGGTTCTGAGAGTTTCTGTGTTGGTGAACATGTGTAGATTTGGGGGAAGGGCGTGGAAGCTCTGCACCCCTTCCCACATACCTTATCCTATGCATCTCTTCCATCTGGGCTGTTCCAGAGTTAGAGCCTTTTATAATAAAACAGTAATCTAGGAAGTAAGATGTTTCTCTGAGTTCTGTGATCCGCTCTAGCAAATTAATGGAACTTGAGGAGAGGGGTCATTGGGACCCCTGATCTATAGCTGTTTCGGGGGAGTGACAGTTTTGTAGGATTGAACCCTTAACCTGTGGAATCTGACACTACCTCCGGGAAGACAAGTGTCAGAATTGAGTTGAATTGTAGGACACTCAGCTGGTGTCCGAGAACTGCTTGTTGGTGTAGTGTAGGGAAACTTCCCCGACTCCCACCCCTCCGCCTCCCGCCATGACAGCATTGGCTCCTACAAGACTTGGCTCAATTAATATTTGTTGAACTTTGAGTGAATGTATGGTGTCATAAAACTTTGACCTTGTTTGATTTTTATAAACAGAGAAGGAAACCTCTCACTTGCCTATCTAATAGAAATGCCAGAGCTGAATATCTTGTTTCAAGAGCAATTGGAGGCAGGGGCCCAGCCAGGGATGCCCTTGAAATGCAGATGGGGGAAGAGTGCTGCATAGCCCAATGGCAGATCCCGCATGGAGCCTTGAGAAATTTGTAGTAGTGGTTTTCCATGGGGTTTCTGAGTTAGTCATAAAATAGGCAATCTGGCACCAGGTTACTAATGCCAAAGGGAGCAAGATGCAGACATAGAAGCAGTAGAGTGAACTACCAAATCCCCTCACACCTTCCCCACCATCAGGGGTGGGCACGGAAAATTAAGCTGTCTTGGATTGAATTTCTACTACTTGCAGCCTAAGGAACCTTCTCCCCACTTCTCTGTCACACCACCTGGGCTCCCCAGCATTCTGTACAAAACCTGGATCTCTTCACTTGTCACATTATGTAGAATTTCACTATTCATCTGTCTCCCATCCCCTCTAAAAGGTAAAGTCTTTTAGCAATATCATGTCTAGTTCATCCTTTACATACCACGACATAGTTAATAATGTATGCTTCCTAATGTTACCTGAGTCAGCCTGACCTGCCTTAGTTCACTTCTCTGAGAATGAAGGAGAGAGTCACACAAGTAATCTGCAAGCTGTTTTCCAGCTCCATGCACTGTATCAGTCAGGTGAGGACTGTGTATTGCTTTTGTTTTGGATTCAGGCCCTGCTACAGAAAGATGAGGCTTTGTCTGTATGTGCTGTGAATCTGGTTGTGAGCCAACTAGTTAAAAAACTAGATGAATACACCCTTTCAATGTCATGTTCCTATTTGTCCCCCTATCTCTTCCCTGCACTGCTGGTTATTTATGTATTTAATATGCAGATAAAGATGCACCAGCTCATACATCAGAGGCCTGCCCCCTACGTCCCTGGGGCCTATTAGGAGCAGATCTGTATATCTTGACTAGAGCAAGTCCCTTTGAGGCGATTCATCTGGGCTGGCCGTGTTATAAGCTGGGGCTTCTCTTTTTTCTTCCCTTTACTTTCTTTGTATTATTGACGTTTGTACAACCCTTGTTCAGTTCTCATTTCTGTGGACATCTGTTATGCAGCCAATCATTAAAAAAAAAATCTAAACTGAGTTAAACATATCAACCACTCTTCCCTCAGTTCCCAGGGAATTCAGACCTATTTCTATAGCTGCTGAATGTAAAAACACTGTGAATTATATCATTTGTATGATTCTAAAATTAACTATGAACGTGCTGGGAGCCTTCAACAAGTTCTAGGCTTTC